AGACGATTATCTAAGTGTGCTGCCCTGGGGTAAGAGGCATCGTCATAACCACCTCCTTAAACCCTGTCCTCGTCTAAAACCTTACCACCTCATGCCCAGCTACAGATAGGAATTATTACGACCTTCCTTAAGCAGGGGTTCAAACCTTTTATGCTCCCTTTCCAGTGCCAGTGTACCAGCCCACAGTAACCGCTCATAGAAGGACATCGGTAAATCAATCGAAAGGTTCAACCTCTTCCTACCTGAGCGGTTTCCACCATCCGGGTTGCTCGGCACATTGGTACTTTCACGATGATCCATTCGACTAACCTGCTGCGTTTTATTACCAGTTGAATTCCTTCTGCTTTCTTCAACGTGTGTCGTTCTTTTCTTACTATCATTCATGATCTCATCACTGTTACTTCCTTCACTTTTCTTCGCCAACTCTCGCCTCCTCTTCTTTTCTTTCTTACTAATCACCTCTTGAAAACTGCCTGTCACCTCCATTGTTGTTGGCCGCGGATCATCTGCTTCCGATTCGCCGCAGGTCGTCTTCTAAGCTGTTCAGTGGTGCAATCTTTTCTTCTCTAGCCAAATCCTTTACAAGTTTCTACCCACCACTTGCCCCAGGCATGGTGCAAAGCTTAGGAAGCAAGTGAAAATCAGCAGTGTTGTCGCAGCGTACAAAACTGACGCGTCCGACCAGTACGGCCAGCGTTGAGAGAATGACAGAATTGAAATGCCTATTGGGATCAACGAGCACCTCATGACGTTCTGAGTCCCACTTATCCAATCACGTCATGTTTTTTTTTTTTTTTTTATTGGGCACTCCCCTACATCCTGTGTAAGGTGAAGCGCAGAAGCGTTTACAGCGCCCAACAGGGAAGCATGCTAAGTTCATGCTTGCCTTTGTGTCTCATGAGTAGAAGCCTGAAGGGTCAAGGGAGTCAATCGTTTTTGTCATCAAGTTATTGGAAGCTCCAACAACTTTCCCTGAATACGAATTCGCAACTTCCGATTTACAACAGGTACCTACTTTACTGCTAGGTGAACAGGGACCAATTGGGAATCGAACCCGTGACATCTCGCTTGCGAGACAAGAGCGACTCACGTCCTGTGTTTTTCATCAGTGCATACGCTCCAACACAAGATGCAGAGGATGACATCAAGGAGCCTTTAACGTGACCTTGACAGAGTGCTAACCTCTATCTCCCCAAAAGATAAAGTTTTGCTCTGTTGTGACTTAAATGCCAGATTTGGCAAAGATGCTGACATTTGGCAGGGAACCATAGGGAGAAATGGACTAGGCAAGCGTAATCCCAACGGCCCACTCCTCTTCAACAAGTGTGCTGCACACAACCTCACTATCTTGTTTAGGTAGGCCGACAAGTTCAAGAATTCGTGGCAACAACCACGATCCAAACACTGGTACCTCTTTGACTACATCATTCTCAGAGAAAGAGATCGCCGAGATGGCCTCATCACCCGTGCCTTGCATGGCTTAGACCACTGCGACACTGATCATCGGCTCTTCAGGGCCAAGCTCCAAGCTTCACGTCGCCCCAAAACGGTGAAGGCAGCAAGCCTCCAGAAGAGGTTTTAACACTAAGCGTCTGGAGGATCCAGTGGTAGCACATGCCTTCAGAGAGCAACTCAAACATGGGCTGATAAAAAAACAGACAACACACAACTCAAATCCTAGTCCAGAATGGTGATATTCTCGACACTGTCATGGCAAAAACCTGCAGAGAGACCCTCGGCCAGATCCAAAGAATACACCAGGACTAGTTTGATGAAAATGACCCGGCAATCAATGTGCTCGTGGATGATAAATGTGTTACTTTAACTGATTGGCATAACAACGCTCAGTCTTGGACAAAAGCCGATACCTTCTGCAAGAAGAAAGCCGCGGCCTAGCGGGAACTTTGCAATCTAAAGAAAGACTGGAGAATATATTGGAAAAGGAGGAAATCCCTCAAGCTCTCAAAAACGCCTCCATTGTCAATATTTGTATGAACAACGGTGACCGGTCAGACTTTGGCAATTACCGTGGGATCTCGCTACTGCCCGTACATGGAATGATTATCGCCCGAGTCCTGTTAAACGAATTTCTTCCTGAGGCGGAAAACTTCCTCCCAGAATCTCAATGTGGCTTTAGACCATCACATGGCACCATTGACATGATCTTTCCTGCCCGTCAGTTACAGGAAAAATGTAGAGAACAGCGTCGTACATGGCTTTCATCGACCTAACCAAAGCCTTAGACTCCGTCAACAGCGAAACCCTCTGGTGGAGCCTCAGCTGTTTTGGCTGGCCACAAAAAATTCATCGTCATTGTGAGGCAACTCCACGATGGCATGAGCGGCAGTGTCCTGAACAATGGCACCCAGTGTGAATTCTTCCCCGTTCAAACGGGGGTTAAACAGGGATGACTACTGACTGCAAGTCTCTTTTCCATTTTCTCAGCTGCCTTTCTTACTAGGGCCAGCTCCAATTTAGCAGGCGGGGTGGACATAGAGTACCGGATGAGGGGTCTTTTCAACATAAGACGACTCCAGACAGGAACAAAGGTGTCGACAGCTTCCATTACTGAGCTTCACACTGAACGGGAAGTACAGGAGATCCTGAACACCTATGCAGATGCGTATGCACATAAGACGCAGATTCTCTTTCAACCTGCCCCTGGTTCAGCCAGACCTCCACCATCCATTAAGCTTATCAGTACTACCCTCTCTAATGTTACTTTCTTTCGGCATCTCGGCTCTCACCTGTCCACCACCGCACACATTGGTGAAGAGATTCTACATCGAATAACATGTGCTTCTCAAGCCTCTGGCAGACTCCGTACCCGTGTCTTTAGCTGTAGGGAGCTGAAATTATCTACAAAGTTGCACGTATATCGAGCAGTGGTCCTCTCCACCCTGGTATATGGCAGCGAGACATAGGTCACATACAGGAGGTACCTCAAGGTACTTGAATGCTTTCACCAACGTAGTCTACGTTCCATCCTCCGAATTCGCTGAGAAGGCAAGAGAACAAATGCCAGTATTCTTGCTGATACCAACTGTAGGGGCACCGGGTCTCCCATTATCCATGAACAACTACGCTGGATGGGCCATGTTACCCGTATGGACGACAGTAGACTGTCAAAGCAGCTATTTTACAGTTACCTAACGAATAGTAAATGTAACGCTGGCGGGCAACTGAAAGGTTATAAGGATAGTCTTAAGACAAACCAGAAAAGTGCCAAATCGACCCACTCACCTGGGAGACGATTACTCCACACAAGGTGTCAATACTTTCGAGTTAGGTCGACTTCATAATGAGGCAGAAAGGCGCCAACGCCGGAAAGACGCTGCCGCCGCCCCTCCTGCACTAGATGTAGTTCCCTACATGTCTAACATCTGTGATCGACCCTGTCGGTCCCGTATCGGCCTTTTTAGTCACCTCAGAACTCGCCAACACAGGTGATATGGCTAATTGTTCATATCATTGTATTATATCTGGACGATCGTCATACTCTATTCCGAGTGACAGCAAAGTAGAATTAATAGTAGTAGTAGGAGTACTGTGTGTGTGTGCGTGTGTGTGTGTGTGTAATAATAATAATAATAATAATTAACGGTTTATTGAAAGAGCTTGGCAGCCAGAAGGCTGAAAATATACAGTTACATATTTGGGGAATGGGTTTCGAATTACAAATAATATACAAGTAACATAAGTGATACAAATAAGATATATAATAACTAGATGGGGAAAAGCTCAAACTACAGTGCATTTCAACATAGTGACAGTGCAAGAAGTAGTATTTACTGGGAGTGAATACACTGATTTATTACAAGTTATTGATAATTTTTACAATGGTTGGGACTGGGTTGTTCTTATAGCGATCAGTTCGTGCACGTATGGGCTGGATGCGGTTGTGGTGTCGAACAGCAATTCTCGGGCTAGGGATCTCAGGTGGTAGTAGGAGCCGGTGTCGAGGATGGTGTAGAAGCTTCTTACCAAATTTGCAGATGAGGTCGTGGTGATGGTCAGTGAGAGTCGAAAGGGTCAGTGTGTTGAGCGCTTCTTGATATGCTGAGTAGGAAGGGGAGAGAATAATCTTGCATGCCCTCTTTTGCACTTTTTCTATGTGTTTACGTTGTGTGACATTTAGGGAAGAAGACCAGGTAGGGGAGGCATAGGTGAGCTTGGGAAGTATGAATGTTGTGTAAACACTGAGGAGCTCGGGTGCAGGAGCTCCGAGGGACTTGAGTGGGCGGAGGAGGTGGAGACGGAAACTGGAGGATTTGACAACTTCACTGACGTGTGGTTTCCAATTTAGTTTGTTGTCTATGGTATCGCCGAGGAGCTTCGAGGAATCTACAACCTGGAGTGTGTTCGGACCTAAAGTAATGGAAGGAGGTGGGACAATGTCGGAGGAGAGGTTGATGTGCATAACCATGGTCTTGGTATGGTTGATGGTCACATGGTTGTTGGTGGCCCAGTTTTGGAGACTGTTCAATAAACCCTGAAGGGCGGTATAGTCGGGAGCAGAATTGTCGACGCTGATCCCAATGGTGGAGTCGTCGACATATTTCCAGCGAGCAGGGGTTTCTCTTAGGGCATCATTGATGAGCATAAGGAAGCAGAGTGGTCCCATCTTGGTGCCTTGGGGGACGCCACAGGTGAGTGACTGAAAGGTGGAGACAGCCCCTCGGAAGCGTACAGCTTGGCGTCGGTCACTGAGGAAGTCTGTAAGCCATGGTATAAGACTTCTCCGAAGCCCGAGGTCAATAGCTTTGTTGATGATTATATTGTGGTCGACTAGGTCGAATGCTTTAGTGAAATCAATGAAGGCGACAGCTACAGACGTTTTTCGTTTCTCAAGATGACGGTATATGTAATCGAGAAAGCTGACAAGACAGTGAGTGGTGGAGGAATTTTCATATTGCCAAATTGCTGAGGGTCTACGACTCCTGCAATATCAGCATAAGCCCAGTCGAACACAAAACTTTCACAGATTAGGCTGGGTATTGGGGTATTAGGCTGGGTGTGTGAGTGTGTGTGTATGTGTGTGTGTGTGTAGATGTATTATTATAAATAAAATAAGTGAAACCAAGAGACAATTAAAAATATTGTTAATCCCTGATGCACTTGAAATAAAAACCCAAAATAGTTGCTCCGTGCATGAATTATTATAAATAAAATAAGTGAAACCAAGGGACAATTAAAATATTGTTAATCCCAGATGCACTTGAAATAAAAACCTAAAATAGTTTTTCCAGAGGGAGGGATGGAAGGAGAGAGAGAGAGAGAGATTTGGGCCCGCATCATTGCTAGCCGTGGTCCGCCTATTGAGGAGCTTGGGTCTATTCTCTTTTGACATTGTCCATCCCGAGGGCCTCCCGGGTCTTCTGAATGATATCTAGGAAGAGGAGAGTCCCATTGAAGACCATGAAAGTGCCGAGCCAGTGGTGCAGGGTGAAGGGGTTCTGGAAGTAAATAATGGAGAACACGAGAGAGAGGAACTTCCGAAGGGTGAGCACCAACGTGACGGTGAGGGCGGTGCACTCTGAGGTCAGTCTGAATACCGAGCTCACACACAAGTATCTGGCGAGGCACATTAATGAAAGTAATTTGTTTTTTCTATGCACACATCAGTCTTCTACATATGTAGTTTCCCAAAAAAGATAAATACGTAGAGTTATCGCTAATTGGCAATTATTCTTATTTAGCGTAACACACACACACACACACACACACACACACAAACAAGGACTAAGAAAGAGGCTTATGTACACAGGGTGACCCTACGAAACATGAGGTCAGGTCAAAAACATGACATCTACTAATCTACACACCACCACCACCGCAAAAATAAGAGGAGCTAAAAGAAAGGGCAACGTAACTATAAATAGTCACGTCAAGTCAGGTAAAAAATATGAGACCCACTAATCATCTATCCTACATCTACCTCGAATGTTTTCAAAGCATTTTTAACCTTGGGCCACTAACAAATAACTTTGTGTAATATATTATCACTTGTACTGACAATTACTAAACAAACATAACCTAACCTACTTTAGGTATAGATTCGCTATATTTTGAGGGTAATGCGCACCTCACGTGAAACAACAAATTTGACCATATACGAATAAATTTCCATTGACTTAGAGTAATAATAACACCAAGTTATCCCTATTCGGCAAAAACTTCACTTGCTTTTGAAGGCTTAAGCGGCGGTTTTTCTTATTTAGTGTAAAACACAAATACACACATACACAAACACACACAAATTATGTTTTTATCAAATAGGGACATATTTGTTTTCATTGTTCCTACTAAATGGAAAAAAATTCATATACGATGAAATTTACAGTTATGAAACAAGGTAAATATTACCATTTACGAATTAATATCGGATAGGTATGCGTTAGCACATATTTGATAAATGACCTACGTACCCCACAGTAACATTTGTTTTGCTAGTTTTCTTATATATTATTAATAATTCATTTTTATTTTGTTTGAAAGGAAAATTATGGTGGTCCTGGCAATAAGAATAAAAGGATGCTGAGTGAGGACGTTACCCAGGAGGAAGAGCCAGAGTCTGGGCACGAAGGCAAAGGCCGGGCAATTGGGAAAGGGCAGGAAGAGGAGCTGACCTGCTGAATCTGGCCACGTGATCCACAATACTAATCCCTGTTATCAGGAACCCAGGCAGTGACAATGTGTGCTGTAGGCAAGATACAAACACGTAGATAGCATTAGTTAGTATATATATATATATATATATATATATATATATATATATATATATATATATATATATATATATATATATATATATATATATATATATCATGTAGATCCACAATGAAAACGTGGATAAGATAAATCTTGATAAAATCACACGGGAAAAGGGAAACAACGGAGCACTTGTGGGTGTTTCAAGATATATATATATATATATATATATATATATATATATATATATATATATATATATATATATATAAAGATATACATTATAGCTTTCAGTGTAATTACACTAGTGAGTACAGACTAGCTCTAGTCTGTACTCACCCCTGAAGATGTGAATTACACCAAAGCGCTGGGAACTTGTGTTTTCTTTTCCTTGTGTTACAGCATATACCTAGATCACGCACCTACAGTGATTTATTTGATATATATATATATATATATATATATATATATATATATATATATATATATATATATATATATATATATATATATATATATATATATATATATATATATATATACCTTGTTTTGTACTTTCCTTAGTTCACCCTTGAAGATGTGAATTACACGAAAGCGCTTGGGAACTTCGTGTTTTCTTTTCTTTGTTATCAGCTATATATATATATATATATATATATATATATATATATATATATATATATATATATATATATATATATATATATATATATATATATATCACTGTAGGTGTGATGTTAAGAAAAATGTAAGGAAAGCAAAGAGAGACTATGAAGTCAAAATAGCAAGAGAATCCAAGGCAAATACCAAGGATTTTTCCAGGTATATAGAACAAAAGTCAAGGACAAAGTTGGGCCTTTAAAGTCAGGAAGGAGAAGTGATAAATGGCAGTGAGGAAAATAAGCAAAGCATTGAACATTTACTTCTTACCAGTTTTCACAGAAGAAATTATGAGGAAATTCCGAGGTGGAATTGATATTTAGGGAAAGAAGAAGAGAAATTAAACAATATCACTATCAGAGAAGAGGATGTTCTTAAGAATATATATAAACTAAAGTAAATAAAATCCCCAGGGCCGATGAAATTTTCCCTGAGTCTTGAAAGAGTGTAGGGAACAGATTAGCGGACGTCTTGTATTTATTCAAAAATCATTAGACACCGGAGTTGTGCCAGACTTGTGGAAACAGGCAAATGTAGTACCCATATTCAAAAAGAGAGACAGAGCATCAGCTCAAATTACCGGCCGATCAGTTTGACGTCAGTAGTGGGGAAATTTCTTGAATCAATTATAGCAGATAGCATCCGGACGATCTAGAGAAAAGCAAATTAATCTACGACTCTCAACATGGGTTTACAAAGGAAAAATCTTGTCTAACAAATCTGATGACGTTTTTTAGAAAGTCTTCGAGGTAGTAGATAATGACGAAAATTACTATGTTATTTACTTAGACTTTAGCAAAGCATTTGACAGAGTACCGCATCAGAGGCTTCTTGAGAAAAATTAAGGCTCATGGTATCGAGGGAAAGTTCTAAATTGATAAAATCATGGTTCACCGATAGAACGCAGAGGGTCACGTAGATGGTGTTAAGTCTGAGTGGGGCCGTGTAGCCAGTGGTTCCCCGAGGTCAGTACTAGGCCCACTCTTGTTCATAATCAACAATACACGATCTAGATACTGGGATCACAGTGACATAAGCAAGTTCGTGGATGACACCAAAATAGGGCGGCATATTAATTCAGGGCAGGATGCAAATGCATTACAGGAGGATCTAAATAAACCGGGGTGGTCTGGAAAATGGCAAATGAAATTCAACACCAGCAAATGCAGCGCATTTAATATTGGAAGAACAAATACTGACAATGTATACAGCCTTAACAACACCAACCTAGAGAAGTCGACTTGTGAAAGAGACCTAGGATACTTGTAAGCCCGGACCTACAGGCTAGAAAACAGTGCGTTAATGTTCGAAATAAGGCAAACAGAGTATTGGGTTTTATATCTAGAAGTGTAAGTAATAAGAGTGGAGAGGTCTTATTGCAACTATATCTTGCGCTAGTCAGGCCACACCTCGATTATGCGGTTCAGTTCTGGTGCCCTTATTATAGAATGGATATCAATTCACTAGAGTCGGTGCAGCTAAGAATGACGAAAATGATTCCGGGACTTAGAAACCTTCCATATCAGGATAGGTTAAAGAAACTTAACTTGCATTCCCTAGAAAGACGAAGAGTGCAGGGAGATATGATAGAAGTATTCAAGTGGTGAAAGGAATCAATAAAGGATATAGATAAAGTTCTTATAATATCCGAGCAGGATAGGACTGAAGCAACGGATTTAAGTTGATAAATTTAGGTTTAAGAGGGAGATAGGAAGAAACTGGTTCACAAATAGGGGTGGACGAGTGAACAACCTTAGCAACTTTGTAGTAAGTCTTGGAACTCTGAAAGTTTCAAGGAGGCTAGATAGATTCATGGATGATAGAGAGTGGTAGTAACTCGACAGGAGCTGCCATGCACAGGCCAACCGGCCTATTGCAGACTCCTTATTTTCTTACGTTCTTATGTTCTTATGATCCATGTACAATCAAAGACAAAAGTTGTGCGGCGGTTTTGTCCAAAGATTAAATATAACTCGTGAAACGTTATGAGAGCCCCTACCACAAGACAGAGTGCACCAAAAGTTTAGCCCTTCGGCATATGTTTTCACCAAATTTCACGACACGATTTTTGTCTTTCCTTGTACAGTATATGTTGATAACCACATAGGAAACAAGAAAACACGAAGTTCCCAAGAGCTTTTGTGTAATTCACATCATATAATGAGACATAATACTCAACCACTTAGGATGAAGTACACTACACACTCACAATAAAGAAGAGTGCTCGGGGGTGTTGCCGTGCTTAGTATAGAGACACTCCTGGTAGATGCCCATACGAGCCGACATGAAGAGTGCGAAGGTAAGAATAGCGATGCCCATGAGCCAAGTGGTGAAGTTGAGAAGCCCTCGAGTCCGCAGGCTCCTCCTCCTTGAATGTTAAATCAGACTTAGTTAGCTTCTTCCTGAATTACTGAAAGAGCTTTTTAACTTCCTTCTTCTAAAATAATGATAAAAATAAAATGAGAATAAAACGAAGAGTCGAAAACATAAGTGATTTCTGTATTAAATGGTAAATATCTGACCTTATGGGAATTGTCAATACAATACCTTTGTACTCTATTGTAGATATCACACACCTAACATATACAAACAACAATGAAAATATACCGATGATTTCTTTTGACCATCTTGTGGTTATTGGTGCTTCATGTTCCTGCGACCGACAAATGAATCATTACTAACCAAGTGTTCAGCAGATGCGAAGGTACAGATGATAGTGCCGAGTGTAATCATCAGCACGGACAGGTACTTAACGGTGTAATGTCGACCCAGCACCAGGATGCCGATCAAAATGCTGGCTATAAGGCCTCTGTCACCATAACACACAATCGTATTTTTACGCTATTCATGATTTAAGTTCTTAATCTTGTTCTTCATTTAGACCAAACTATTTAAAACATTATATACTATGTTCTTATGTTCTTATGAGGTAATGCGTGAGTTATGATTTCCCTACAACTGAGTAAATTATGCATGGTCAAACTCTATGATTATTTGAAGCTTGATGGAACGATTCCTTAAACAAATATGTTAGACAATGAATTTGTAAATTGGCCGAAAAAATTAGCAACTACTTTCGTGGCTGGAGGAAAATGATAAGGCTTGATTTTTCTACCACAATGTAATGATCGCACATGATGGATAACTAGTAGGTTTGCAGAATTTGAATCACACTGTGTGGAGGATGGGGAAGTAAGCATAAAACGAAACGTATTTTTAGAGGGTCATTTAAAAATTATCATATTACTCTCTTCATTTACAGCAAGTCAACCCCCTTATAGTAACTACAAAATTGCCATTACAGATAAAGCGGACTTCTCGGAGTAATTATATACACACCCACGTGTGTATGTAATATATATAATTTGTATTTTAACCCTAGATAGGTTATGTGGGGTCCAAAAATTCCCACGCCGAACTTATATGAACATAAGTGTAAAAGGGCAAAAAAAGATTAAATCTATATTTTCATATACTCGGCTATTTGTTTTGCTTTTTTCCCCCATTTTCATTCAGAAGCCGAGCTAAGACATTTAAATGTTTGTATATGCCCTTATATTTTATTAAATGTAACTTCCTGATTTATGTTTGTTTTTTCCTCTGGGGTCTGTGGGTCCCTTAGTTTAGACATTTATTCCATTACCTGTCTATGGGTGTAAGGATAAGAGAACAATATATGGCCAAGAAGGAAAACCAAAAGCATATACCGTACTGTAGCTATCACTGAGCTGCTAATCTCTGACTGGGAAAGTGTTTATGGCCAGTCAATACTATGAATGGTAAACTTAATAAATTGTGAAATTCACTGAAAAATAGGTTGGTGTTAAATAACTGTATTTAGGAATAGGATAGAGTGTAAATGAAAGCAACCTCTACGCCTGGCAGTGGGTAACCATACCAGGTAGAGCAGCGTGGTTAGATGGAAGTGGAATCCTTCCCTGCTTTAGTCGCTTAAGACGTTGCTCTCAGGCTTCCTCTATTTAGATTATACAAACAAGTTTCATGGAAGTTATTTTCATATGAATCGGTGCTTACTAGCTTCCTCACCAAATCTCAGCAAATTGAGTGTTGTCATTTGAAAGTAGTTTTCCATGCTAAATAATTATGCGAGCCAATCCATAGGGTAATAATATAACTTCAATTCCTAATTATACACGCCACTGCTTGGATAGGCTGCCCTCAACCTGTTTGAATGAATTAGGAATAATTGAATGAATTAGGAATTTGGATATTTGGCAACTTATATTCTCAGTGTTTATTTACATCATGCAGTAACCATTAAGGATGATGGAGAATACGTAAGAACAGAGTCAAGCCATGACTGGCTGCTCGCTAACTTATACACCACAGTAGACCGTCATGTCTATTAGTCAATTGCTTCTGAAATATATGACAATCATATTACACCTCGTAGCACAATCTTTGTATAATTTGACAATTCTATGAATTAAGTATGTCTTTTAATTTCCTCGTCATACTTGGTTATTCAGCCAGTGACATGGATATTCATTAAACAAATAGCAGTAGTTTCCTGTAATTAGGCTCTGCCACGCTTAATTAATTATATTACAGGTTAATGCCTATCGACTGCACAAGGGTCATTAAGGTAAATGAGACTTCCGTCACACCCCATGTGGAAAAGGTAGTGTTTTTCCCTTCTCATAGCAGTGATACATGGCCTCTGATGCCAAAACGGTGAGGGTCTGTTCGGGTGACAGTCGTTGCACAGATCAGAAGTGACTAAATATTAGCTCACAGCCAGTATGAGTAAATCATGGTATTAAGCGACAAGTTAACTTATTATGTGCTTCTAAATATTAAAAAAAACAGTGTTGTTAGCCGCAGAATTCCTCTAGTCCAGCTTCACTCCTACATCCCATCCCCCCACCCACCCTGCCCGTCCCCCTCCTCTCCAGCCCTGGGTCTCCCACTTCACGTCAGGAGCGTATCATGACATAACCCTTACACACTATTAGCTTAGCTAGGCGGCCAGCCCACCCTCTCTTACCTCCTCCCAAATTTCTTCAATTTCCGAACTATAACTTCCTTCCCCAACTTCTAATCTTCCTTCACCCATCCTTTCTCTAAAAAAAAAAAAATGCTTCGGGCGCGGGTTCATATTCCCGTGGTTGGCAACTCTTTGAGGCGATCATTGATAGCATTGACTGTTGCAGGTGCAAGTGTAGGAAGTTGTACATCTTCTTTTTCCCTCAGAGTTTGATACATCCCAGACCCATCGTGTCCATCATCTTCATGGCTTTCCCATCCTCTATAATATAGAGTCTATATGAAGACAGTAACATCTGAAGTGGTGGCTGGATTTTCTTTAGACTTGGTGACCAAATTTCCTGAACGATTCGATACAAGAAAATGTGATCGATAATTTTTACCAGGGTGCCGAGTGTTACGGAACCCACCGAGTGTAAGATTTAAAGCGAACTATAAACTTTGGGGGTTTAGATCTTGAAGGCCTTGGCCTATTGTGCATATTCCAACCTAATATTTTTTGCAGTTAATGTACAAAACCAAGATTCTCATTTTATTGTTTATACCAGTGGTCTCTAACCTTTTGTAGGCTCTGGGCAATATTTAACGTTGTTAATATAGTGGAGGGCTATATCCTCTCATCTTCTGGAAAGGTGAAGACGGATATCACTTCAATATTCCTCACACAGATCCAGCGACTGGTGCGACGAAAGTAGGCACGAAAGTCTCATCCAATGACTTTTATTCATACAGACTCATGATTAGGGAAGACAGTTCCAACCAGATACTAAGATCAAGGAACCTCTTCCACCATGACATTATAGCAAGAGTATTTCGTCAGAAAGTGATCAAACTCATGGACTTGCTTACAAAAGCATCAATCTTTGTCCCTACACGGTGCTACATGTACTCCATTGAGTGGCAGAAACGAGGTCTACCACATGCCCATGTCTTGATCTTGCTGAAAGAGAAACTTCGACCGAACATGATTGAAAACTGCATACGTGCAGAGTTTCCTGATCCAGAAGAAGATCCAGTTCTCTATGAGATTATCAAGAAGCACCTTGAATGTTGCCACACCTGGTAGTAGCGGACCCGGGATTGATCCCAGAGAAAGATGAACAAACAGACAGACAGACATCTTTGTTTTATATATATATATATATATATATATATATATATATATATATATATATATATATATATATATATATATATATATATCGATAAAATCACACGGGAAAGGGGAAACAACGGAGCACCTTAGCTTTCGTCTTTATTCAAGACGTATTCAGAGGCAAGCTAAGGTGTGATTTTATCAAGAGTTATCTTATCCACGTTTTTATTGTGGATTCATATATATATATATATATATATATATATATATATATATATATATATATATATATATATATATATATATATATATATATATATATATATATATATTTATATTTATATTTATATATTTATATATATATATATATATATATATATATATATATATATATATATATATAAAGATATATATATCTGTATATGCAAGTAAATCACTGTAGTTGCGCGTGATCTAGGTATATGCTGATAACCACAAGGAAAAAGAAAAACAGTTCCCAAGCGCTTTCGTGTAATTCACATCTTCAGGGTGAGTACAGACTAAGAAGAAGTACAAAACAGGATATATATATACAGAGAAGGATAAGGTCAAGTCCACAGTGGTCAGGTATAGGTAATGACCCTTCTAATCTTCACAAAAGCACCGCAGTGGTAGATTTCAACTTCAGAATTAGGATTTCAACTACCAGAAATATTGACTGGGATAACATTGTAGGTGACTATGAATCCAAAACTTCTAGACGCAGTACAGTACAATTTTGGAAACAACTAATTACAGAACCTACTAGAGGTGACAATATAATTAGACCTAGTATTAACAAATAAAAAATAATATCAGAGATATCACTAAGTAACAGTGATCACAGAGAAATCAGGTTCACCTAAATTGAAACGAAAACTATAACAAAAATATGGTCAGAGTCCCCAAACTTTCGGTTGGCGGATTATCAGGGGTAAAGAAGGTACCCTGGGTGAGGTCACCTGGGAACAGTCACGTCAGTCCCCAGTAGGAAGGGTGAGGTCATAGATGACACAATAATTGATCATGACTATAATATATTTACTAGGATACTACATAAAGCACAAGAATTAAAATGTACCATACAGAAAAATTAGGTCAGAAATAAGAATGAGCCAAGGTGGATGACCAGAAAACTGAACATGACATAGGAATAAAAGAAGGAATATATAAGAATTAAAGGAGGGAGGAGCAGCTCAGAAATAGGTATAATAGACTATCTAGGAATGTTAAGAAAAATGTAAGGAAAGCAAAATTGACTATGAAATCAAAATAGCAAGAAGAGAGAATCCAAGAGCGAATCCCAAAGAGTTTTTTTTCCGGAGTATATAGGACAAAGGTCAAGGACAAAGTTGGGCCTTTAAAGTCAGGGAGGGAGAAGTGATAAATGGCAGTGAAGAGAAATAAGCCAGCATTCAACAGCTACTTCTTATCAGTTTCACAGAAAGTGCGATGAAATTCCAGAGGTGGAACTGATTTTTAAGGAAAGGAAGAAGAGAAATTAAAGAATATCATTATCAGAAAAGGATGTTTAACAGAAGATAAATAAACTAAAAGAAAACAAAATCCCCGGGGCAGGATGAAATTTTCCTCGAGTCTTGAAAGGTATAGGGAACAGATTGATGGACCGCTCATAAACTTATTTACAAAATCATTAGACACTACCAGGTTGTGCCAGACTTGTGGGAAACAGGCAAATGTAGTACCCATATGAAAAAAAGAAGACAGAGCAGCGGCATCAAATTACCGGCGATCAGTTTGACGTCAGTAGTGAAGGCTGCCAGATCAGTACCCATAACGGAATATCAATCGCATCTAGAAAAGCAAATTGATCTACGACTCCCAACGTAAAGGTTTACAAAGGAAAAATCTTGTCTAACAAATCTGCTAACGTTTTTTAGGAAAGTCTTCAGGTAGTAGATAACTGGCGAAAATTACGATGTTATTTACTTAGACTTTGGAAAGCATTTGACGGAAATGCCGCATCAGAGGCTTCTGAGAGAAAAATTAAAGACTCATGGTATCGAGGGAAAGTTTTAAATTGGATAAAATCATGGCTCACCGATAGGGGTACCAGGCGTCAAGCGTAGATGGTGTTAAATCTGAGTGGGGCCGTGTAACCAGTGGTTCCCCAGGGGGTCGATACTAGGCCCTCTTGTTCATAATCTACATAAACGATCTAGATACTGGGATCAGCAGTGACATAAGCAAGTTTATGGATGACGCACCAATAGGGCAAATATAGAATTCAGGGCAGGATGCAAATGCATTACAGGAGGATCTAAATAAAGCTGCAGGGGTGGTCTGAAAAATGGCAAATGAAATTCAGCAACACCAGCAAGTGCAGCATTACTAATATTGGAAGAACAAATACTTATAATGTATACAGCCTTAACAACATCAACCTAAGTCGACTTATGAAGACCTAGGGGAGTACTTATAGCCGGACCTACGGCCTAGAAACGGTGCGTTAATGTTCGAAATAAAACAGAAGCAAGTATTGGGTTTATATATAGAAGATACTTAAATGGCACAAGAGTGCAAGAAGTCTTGTGCTACTATATCTTGCGATTGTCAGGCCGCACCTCGTTATGCAGTTCAGTTCTGGTGCCCTATTGAATGGATATAAATTCACTAGAGTCGGTGCAGCGAAGAATAACAAAAATGGTTTCAGGACTTAGAAACCTTCCATATCAGGATAGGTTAAAAAGAATCTTAACTGCATTCCTAGGGCAGTGTGCGGGGAGATATGATGAAATGATATTTAAGTGGGTGAAAGAATCAATAAAAAGGGGATATAGATAAAGTTCTTATAATATCCGAGCAGGATGGGACTCAGAAACAACAGTTCAAGTTGGATAAGTTTGGGTTTAGGAGGGAGATAGGACGAAACTGGTTCACAAATGAATTGGTGGACGAGTGGAACAAGCTTAGCAACTTTGTAGTAAGTGCGGGAACTCTGGAAAGTTTCAAAAGGAGGCTAGATAGATTCATGGATGATAGAGAGTGGTAGTAACTTTCGACAGCAGTTGCCATGCACACTGTGCATTGCACAGGCCAACCGGCCTATTGCAGACTCCTTATTTTCTTATGTTCTTATGTTCTTATGTAGTCAGATCAGAGGGTAAGCTGACCCAACCTTCTCACCTGGTGACAAATCTTCTTATTTACGAAATTATCAAGTTTGTACATACCATTACTCAAATTCGGTTTGACGGATTCGGTATGTCTAATGGGACTAGATTCTATAATGTTCCTACTGTCAATTGAATTACAAGGTAATATTGAGGAGGCATTTTCCCAGTCAATGCAATGCTTATTATCCCTCAAATGAACAAACAGAGCATTGATATATATATATATATATATATATATATATATATATATATATATATATATATATACACATATATATAGTATATATATATATAATATATATATATATATATATATATATATATATATATATATATATATATAATATATATACATATATATATATATAAATATATATATATATATATATATATATATATATATATATGTATATATATATATATATATATATATATATATATATATGTATATATAGATCAACACTACATATCTACATATAACAACATCCATCATCACTACATATAACATCACCCATCATCATTACATATAACACCATCCATCATCACTACACATAACACCATCCATCATCACTACATATAACTTCATCCATCATCACTACATATAACATCATCCATCATCACTACATATATCACCATCCATCATCACTACATATAACTTCATCCATCATCACTACATATAACATCATCCATCATCACTACACATAACACCATCCATCATCACTACATATAACTTCATCCATCATCACTACATATAACATCATCCATCATCACTACACATAACACCATCCATCATCACTACATATAACATCATCCATCATCACTACATATATCACCATCCATCATCACTACAGATCGGTAAAGTAGGTTCCGAGATTCTCGTGCGGACACAAAAACAAACAAAGACACAGACCTACTTCTTTTGTTATATATATATATATATATATATATATATATATATATATATATATATATATATATATATATATATATATATTTCATTCGCCCAATAAAGCACGAGGTCTTCTACTTATAATCAACACCTCACCCCGCCATGTAGCGTTCCACAGTTACAGTCGTCGGGGTTCGAATCCTGGCAGGTGAGGTGTTGATTATATGTAGATGTCCGCGTGCTTTATTGGGCTAATGAAATATATATGGATCCTCGTGTTTCGAAGCCCGATTTGGTAAACCGTTACTCTGACCACCTAAGGATACGGTTAATCCCATTAGACGTTCCCGGCGCCATTAGCTCGTTGAATAGGCTTTGTCTAGGACTGATTTTAGTATCCTGGTGGTCTAGACTCTAGAGGTAACGTTCCCCAGTCACAGTCGTGGGCCGTGGGTCTGAATCCTGGCGGGTGAGGTGTTGATTATATATATATATATATATGAGTGCACACGTCCTGTACAAGAGACTCGGGTCTCTCTCTCATTTAAACAGTTGATTATATGGGATTACTGACAAGGTTCTAGCCTAATCATGATAATTTGTTTGGCGGACAATATTGTATAAACGTTACTATCTGAAAACCTTCCTGAGGATTATTACATAAATTATCATAAAGAACATAGTTAAGGACATTGGATTAATTAAAGCCATTAAAAATATAATAATGTGGTGTGATGTCCCTCCTTGCTACACACTACACTAAGGAAAGGCAAAGTTGACAAGTTAAAATGATGAGCGAATAATCTAGGAGTTGAAATACGTGGATGCAGAAAGTAATGAGCACTCACTCAAGAATCACTGTTATCGTGACAGACAAATTTAAGTTATGAAAGGGATTAGAAGATTATTAAGTAACATTTATATTATTAAGTATTGATTAATATAATTAATATGGTGCATTACACAACATAAGTTAAACACAAATATGCAATTATAGAAACACACCAAAATATTACAAGAATATTTTTATTTTAAACATTAAATACATATATTATATACAACAACACAAAAGCCTGATAGAATTGGCAGCTCAGGTAATAAGTCTTGGTTGCGATGGCCAACCACAAGGAACCAGGGATTAACGCCGTAGTCCACTACCATCAAACCATCACAATACCACCAGCAATAGCCTGTAATACAGGGGTGGCCAACCTGTCGATCGCGATCCACTGGTCGATCGCAAGATCTTCTCTAGTCGATCGCATGGCAAAGTTAAACTTAATGAGCCATCCTTCTTAAGCTGCCATACAAAAATCCTCTTCAAATTTTACTCATAATCATTGTGATATTATATTTTTCTTTATTTTTTTCGGGGAATAGATTATCATTATGGACACATCAGAGCGATACATACAAAAAAAACTTCGACTGTGCCATGCTGTGTGTGGTGGAACCTGATAGGAAGTGTTCGCGTTCATACGGGCCGATGCTGGCTGGTTCCTGGTGAGGAAACTGATCAGCAAGTTGTCATCAGTTGTAGGCTAAAACTAGGCAGGTATTTGCTTTTATAAGTTTACAAATACACGTTAAATCTTGTATTAATGAATTTGGTAATGAAAAAGTCGACTCGATATTGAGGAGTCTTGTCAAAAGTAAAGAGAGAGAGAATCATATTTGACAACCTTGCCCAGCGAGCCTACACACTTGTCACCAACAATGCAGTGATTTTCAGTCATCTGCAATACTTGGAAGTGTGAGGTTCTGCCTCTTGTTAGGGAAAAGTCTTGGGTGATTATAAAAATTACTGACTTTTTAGCTTAGCGACAGTTTTCGCCGCAACCCTAGAGTAGACAGAAGTGTCCACACTAGCCGATGGCAATTGCTTATAAAAAAAAAGTTAAGAACGTTACGCTGTTACGTTAGTAATTCTCATATTCATGTAGGAAAAGTCATGAAAAAAAGTAATTCTCGTATTCACATACGACTTAATCTTTTCCAAATATAGGTTATTGGCCATCAACTGAACCAAAAATGAGTTCTGGACCAAGTACTAAAAATACCTAAATTTACCATTTCACAATGAATGGGAAGAAGACTATTTTTTACCATGAATAATTTGAAGTGTCTGTGCTTGATCTGCCATGCGTCTCCAGCTCTAGCTAAGAAAACAAATCCTGAAAGGCATTTCAAAAGTTTTCACAAGAAGTATGATAATGATTTCCCACCCAAAAGTGAGCTATGAAAGAGGAAAGTTCATGAACTGAAATCACAGCTCACTGCACAACAAACTCTTTTACAGAAGCGAGCTCAAAATCAAGCGTAGCAACCATTGCATCATTCAGAGTGAGTCGAGTACTTACAAAGCATAAAAAAAAGACATTTCAAGATGGAGAAATATTTAAAGAGGCCATTTTAGAAGCAGCATATTCGTTGTTTGAAATTTTAAAAAATAAGTCTGAAATACTGTTTTCTATTAAGGATGTTCAGTTATCAAGAAACACCGTCATGAGGCGCTGTGAATTCATGGCTGAGGATTTGTGTGAACAACTGAATAAAGACATACGTGAGTGTGTGTTCTTTTCATTACAATTTGATGAGTCTTCTGATGTGGTCGATACATCACAATTATGTATTTTCATGAGAATTGTGTTTAAAGACATGAGTACCAAAGAGGAACTGCTGAAAATTCTACCATTAAAAGTAAAAACTTGGGATGAAGACTTATTTCATCAGACTTTCAGTGATTTTGTTAACAGTACACAATTGCCAG